ACCTGAGAGTTCCCTCCGAGTGAGCCAACACACGGGGAACTACTGCAAAAGCATCCCCTTTATTGTCAGGGAATCAGCAAGAGGAGAAGGACCGACTCTGTTTAGGTCCCTCCTGCATCTGTCTGTACCTCGTAACGCTGTCTTCACGTGCAAACAACTGGGAAGCGTTCCTCATTCCCAAACTGCACACAAAAGGTTCAACCCAAATCACATTCCACACAAGCACTTAGCCAATTTCTGGTTTGCGAGAGATTTTTTTTCCTTCTGTTCTGTTCTTTCTAGAGACAGCAAAAGGAGGGCAGGTTAGCTTTTTCCCCAAGTTACAACTTTTTCTCCCCTGATATTTTAGTGATTTGTAGTTGCCATTTCCCAGTTTAAAATGTCTGTGGTTAGTTTGTTCAAAGCTACAAAAAAGCCCACCTTTCCTCTGAAGAGACTTTCGATCTTTCTTATGAGATCGAAGTTGGAATTGAAAAAAGGAGAGAAATTAAAAGTGAAAAGTAATATTTGCTGCATTTGAACACGAGCCAGATGTGGAACCATCCATCTCCAAATCAAACATTTACAGAGTTGGCAGCAATGAATGTTTCTGCTCACACATGCAAACGTGGAGTCTGAATGTACTCTCCTTCCTACCTACCCATCCCTCTGACACTTGCTCCCCTTTCACACCCAAGGGTTATCCCCCAACTCCTGCACGGCCACTCCTCACGGCAGCACAGCGGCCTTGCTTCACCTCCAAACCATGGCAAGACTGCGACACAAATCCTGGATGTCCAATGTGAGACAGCAACATGCACAGTCAGGAGCCTGCAGGGTGACTGACAGAGCCACGAATACTAACGGACCTATAGTGCAGGTACTGAAAACCCTTCCCCAATCAGGGCACGCCACCTGTGCGTGCGGATACTGAGCGCCGTACACGGGGAGCACCACGATCCAAGGGAAGGACTCTGAATCACACAGATGTGGGGAGAAGATGCTCTTCCCCGTCCGGCTCCAGCCCCATGCCCAGAGCAACAGCAGCCAGCCCTGGCTTCAGTCTCCTTGGGCTCCCCCCTCACCCCTTCACCACCCACTGCTCCAAGGCCTCAGCAGTGACTGGCCTGCTACCATCAGCACCTTGGGCAGCAAACCCAGAACTCAACCGCAACCAAGGGCCCAGGGGGTTTTGTAAACATTAGGTGTGATGACAAACAACTGAAAGAAACTGCATCTACTTTTTGTAAATTACAAAACAGAGCACTGCCCTCCTCACAGCGTTGTAGCTCTTGCCTAAGAGATCCCAGGCAATGTATCAGCCACGGCAATGTCACTACAAAACTGAGATACTGAAGAGAGACGCTCCAAGTACGTTCGATCGGACGAGAAGGGAACCCAAGCCTTGCTGTGCTGCTTCATTCAGAGAACTTTGTTTTGGTATGGTTCCATAAAGTGAACATTCTCCATTTTCTTTGAACAATTTGTACTACACTTGTTTCTCATCAGATTACATAAATTAGCTGAGAGGGAATGGATTCAATTACAGTCCAGATTCCAGACCTCTTAAGAACTGACTGCCTAACACATTCCTTTCATTTAATAAACTGGAACCAAATGAGGATTATATCATATAAATAATACTCCCTCGATAGAGCAATGCAATAAAATGGCAAAAATACTCAGAGGAACCACGTAGATCAAATACAAGAGCCTCTGATATCACCCTCTGGATTTCAAGTATGAACATCACATAAACTTGATTGTTCAGTATTTTTACTTTGTATTGCGAACAAGAATTCGATTCAAAGGCTATAACTTAAGACCAAGTTTCATATCTTCTGACAGCCTCAGACAGCCAAGGAAAAGATGTGTTGCAGCGAGGTATGGATTTCCACATTGAAAAGATAATTTGCTAGCTCTGCACAGCAGACAAAGCTCTCCTGCAAACTGCCAGATTTACGCTCTCCCGAGTGACTCCGAGCGAGCGTGACCGAGCGGGAGGGCTTCTCAACGCGCCGAGCGAGGCCGTGGCCCAGACACACTTCTTCTGCACAAAGGCAGCATTTTGGAACAACTCAAACCGCTAGGACAGCTTTTAGGAACAACCCCTCTCGACAGAAATACTCCCCCAGCCTTTCAGCCTGAGAAGTAGACAGGCCATCTGCAGTCAGAGGTTTTTATACCCAAACACATCAGCATCCAGGGAAGAAAAATGCAGTGAAAAGCTTTTGATTCAGGGCTTGACAGAGGACTCAAAGCTGAAGGCACAAAATTATACAGACAGTCAAAGTATCCCATTTGCAAACAGCATTTTGAAGGAGCTGGGTAGAAAACAGAGGCAGAGAACAACACCACCAGGGTGAGGGATGCTCATTAAAAGTACAATTACCTGCAGGAAAATGCTTTTTAGATCACTGAAAAATGGCTGGAGACAGTTTTGATGACAGCCCAGGCAATTACAGCTTGTCTA